CATATCTACTGGAGCAATTTCAAAGGATAAACCAGAAACTGTAAATGAGGATAATAATATAAGCGAGAAAGCCGAATCTTTACTGGAGGAAGAAGTAGGTGAACCCAATGATTCTTTAGATTCTAACTCGGAACCCTCTGATGATGATGGGTTCTGTGGATTTTCTGACGATGATGATGAAGGATATTATTATGATTTAAATACCGGTGAAACCTATACAAAATCGGAGCGTTCAATTTGTGCATATTAATGATTTTTAATGTAATATAATTTTTAGATACACGTTGATTGATTATTTATATTAAATTTTTCGTCTTTAAGATTCTTACATTCTTATAATATTGATGCGATGAAATTATGATTAAGGTGCTGTAGTCGCGGTTGAGTTGCAGTAATTTTTTTCCTACATAATTCTATGAAAAACAGGTGTATCTCGGTTGAGTCGCATTAGAATCTTAGTGATGTGGACACGGCATCTCATGTCAGCGTAAAATGAGGTGACCACGTGATGTTGTAATTTTTAATATGTAAAGCATGATCGTCTGTATCAATGGGTCAATCACAGATTTTTTTCCATTCGTACTACTATTTCATTACTTTTTTAATCGCAAAGTCATGTCGTTTAACGTTGCAGGTTTCTCCACCAGTGTTCCTGTTATTCCTTCATCTGATCTTCCGACGGTCGAGGAAGTGAGAGGATTTAATGCCGAAGCACTTAATGGCTTTTTGAAAAGGAGATTAAACAGCGTCGATAATCACATAGACACCTTAACAGCTCAAGAAGTCGATGGTGAAGCTTTTCTTGAATTAACTCCTGAAGACCTTACAAAACTAGGAATACTTCTTGGACCAGCTAAAAAAATCTTGAAGTTGATTAATGGCATTCAAGGAAGTAAGTGAACTTATTCTCGTCCAAACCGTGTCAACGTTCGCCAATAATACCGAATACTTATTCTTGTGCTTTTCTTTCCTGCTTCTTATCGTCAAACTCGCCCAAAAAACACATTCGCGTTATCGTAGATCAACCCGTTGCTGGTGAGTCGTAATAAATTTAGTCGATGGAATGAACGCGTCTTGGCTTGATTTTCGATAGCCATTGTTTCGTTCTCGTTACGTTAATAATTTTCTGATATATAGAATTCCCTAGTAAACGAAGAAAATACGATAATGATAATGAAAAACTGCTAAGGTTTTGGAATGCTTTGAAGGATGGGAAAGTTGAGGAGCATGATGGTGGCCAGTTCCTTGAATTATCTGGGGACGTTTACTATCTTCTAGGCAAAGATGAGCAAGGTTCCAATATATCCACTCTGTTCATCCGTGAATGTTATCACCACCTGTGTAATATTATTTTTGAGAATGAAAATATCCGTCGTTGGCGTATTACTGGCAATCCGGGAATTGGGAAAACCTTCTTCGGTTATTATCTACTTTATCTCCTTTCACAACAACGTAAAACGGTTGTATATCACAAACTTGACAATTGTCCGATTCTCTTCAGTGAGAAATGCGCTTTCAGTCACGACGTAGACAATATCCACGCATTCAAAGATTACTTGAGAAATGAAGAAGTTTGGTATATCGTGGATGGTAGGAAGCCGATGGAATATGCCGCCAAGACAATTCTCGTCTGTTCGCCCCAGAAACGCCACTACAGTAGCTTTGACAAGCTTGGAACAACTATTCGGTACATGCCGGTATGGTCTTGGGAAGAGATCGATACATGCAGGATTAAGCTTTTCCGTAATCTTACTCAAGAATATGTTCGGAAATTATACAATAAATGGGGTGGAATTCCTCGGTTTACCTTGTTTTATGCTCTCAATGATTCTCAGCAAGATCTTCTTCAAAGGGCAATTAATTCGGTTAATGATAATTTGTTAAATTTTGTTGGTGAGACCACAGATGATAATATCACCAGTCATAAAATCATTCATATCTGCACGAACATACCAAAAGGAGAGGATGAAGGAGAAGATGAAGGAGAGGAAGGAGGTGAAGGTATGGAAGATGTGGAAATAACTGAAGTAGAAGATAATTCTGGAGAGCCATCTACGTCAAAATTACCCGCAGTAACTAGACCAGATAAAAGGAAAGGTGTTATAGGGAAGGGAAAACCCTTCTATTCAATGTCAACTCTAGAGTTTGCGTCCGATTATGTTTCTGAAGAGATAATGGATAAACTCATAAAGAATTATAAAGATCAGTTGGAAAATTTCGTGAAAGCTAGTTCATCGATAAGTGATTACAGTACACTCCGGGGCGCTATATTTGAGCGGATCGCTCACAGAAAGTTACTAAAAGGAGGATCGTTTAGGACTCGCCCTTTATTCGCATCAACTATCTCTTGCTTCGGGGTGAATAATTCAAAACTATCAATACCCATTCAGAACAAACTGCTGTTCAGTGACATTAGTGAGATTGTTCCTAACATGTATTGTATTCCAACTCAAAAGAATAACGCGTCTTTCGATGCGTTCGTTTTTCCCGACACATTCTTCCAGATGACCGTTTCTGAGAGTCATCCTATTATAATTAGTGGGTTGGAGAAATATATTAATAAGAATGATAATTCAGATATCAAATTTTATTTTGTCTTACCGAAGGAAATATATAACTCTTACCAAGAGCAGGTTCTTTACACCACAAAGAGAACTGTTCTCAAGAATAGGCCACCTTGGATTAATCGTCTTAGGCAATATGCTCTGGAAATTGACCTGAAATTGTAGTTCTTGTTAAAAAAGGTTAGTTTATGTTCTCACATGGATCTTGAATTGGGTTGATAGTGTTTATCTTTTTATCACATTTCGAGCTTGTAATTTTCAACTATATGTATTCGTGTATATGGTGTGGGGTGTGCATCGGAAAATAATATTTAGAGTAGCAATGAAGGTTCGACAAAAGGAAAGTTTGTGTTAGTATTGTTATTATGAATCGAGTCAGTGATGTTAAGTCTATGAATAATATTGATGTTCAAACGGCAAGAACGATAGTATATAACAAAATCAATCACTCCTTCCTGATATTACTGATATAAACTTGCGTAGAATAACTTCTGGATTCAAAAAAAGTATATTATTCTATGAAGGAATAGGAACAGAAATTGATAAAATTAGATTGTTTTTGCCTTAAGCTGAGATGAAGACAACGAAGTGAATTACTGCACCACCTTACTGCGTCCTCACGACACGCGTGTCGTGGAAAACCAGATATTGATATATTTTGCTATACGTAATAAAATCATGAATGTATGAATAAAAAATCGTACTATTTCTTATAAAACATAACAAAGTGAAAATCGTAATTAATACTCATCAAAAGATTATCCTCTATTGCGGAGCAATGGCTCTTCGAGCCTACTCATTAGAAAAATCAAGAATTTGGTTCCAACCTTTCCTTATGTATAAAGGATCTTCTTTTGCTTTGGTTAAATCGATAATAATAAATTCCCTACCTTGCAAATTTTTATCAAGTATATCGACAACATCATGCCATTTTTTTGTATATCATCAGATAATGTTAACTAGTTCATTATATGTTCCACTGCCATTAAAGAGAACAATGTAATCGAGATTTTTTCTTATTAGTTTAGGACAGTCAAAGAAGCTCTGTGTCATGTATATCAAACTGATATTTTTGTGCTTTCCCTCAGTAAAATAACATGCTATTTTATCTTGTATTTTTTAGATTCTGTACATACATCTTCAAATACAGCTACTGTCACTCTTTAAGGGAGAAATCATCAACTTTTGGTATTTTATCAGATTTTATTGCTCGGAATGTAACATCTTCATGATATGGTTTGGGACTATTTGCAATTATTTTATAATAATCTCGGAGATGTTTATACTTGGACTCATTAATTTGATGACTAATCAAAACCAAATCATCATTCTTAATATATCTCGTTCCATCTTTTTTTCCACTAAACAATTGATACATTTTATTTTCAAGTAAAAGGTTGATAACTTCATTAATTTTTCCTGATCTTGTTCGTTCATTGACTAATAAATTGAAAGGTCATTGAGATGTACTATTAAGACCATTAAATCTCTCTATATTTTTGTATTTGTCAATATTCAAAACCATCCTTTCAACAGGATCGAGCTTTTCCATTTTTCATTCTAATTGGATAAGTCACTAATTATTATATCTGAAAAATAATAATTTTTAATACTTAAAGATACTGGATTATTTTTTATGTGTCAAGACACTAGAATTGAATGATGAAGTTCAAATATATAGTCTTAGTTATCCAACCCATGTATCCCATAGCCGATCACATTTTTTACCTATATTTCATATACGTTTCAATATAACAAACCACATAACTGCGATAATTAACAAAGTAAGTAACATATATGCTGATAGCGGTGACATCAATGTGCTTGTCATAACAGGGATCGCTCCTATTCCTCCTATCAGAAGAGGCAAAGCCTTGAGACTAGGTCTCATCTGAGAATTCGATTCAATTAAAGTGAGAGTATAATTTTCCAGCTGTGCAAGATGGGTGTAACAATTTTCACATACCCTTGTAATTTCTTGTATTATGTTTATCCTTTTTTGTGTTATGTTTATCATTTTTTTGCATAACATGTATAATTTAACACAGATCTACATTTAATACTTCTTAATGTTTCGCTAATTAGATTAGATGTGAAA